TTTTTAAAATATGGAACACTTCACGAATTTGTGTGTCATCCTTGCACAGAGGCCACATTAATCTTCTCTGTATTCCAATTTTAGTATATGTACTGCCAAAGCACGCACCCTCAAGTGTTTCTTTAAGGTAGGCACCATGAAGAAAAACTGCTGCATCAAAGGCTATGCACATTGTATATTTTAATGAGCACTAACAAATTGCCTTCAAAAAAGTTGTACTAATTTATGCCGTCATTAGTAGCACCTGAGTTTCTCCACAACCTTTCCAACACCTGATATTATAAATCCTTAATAATTTTGCTAATTTTATGGGTAAAAGCTGTATACCTAATTTTAATTTGGACTTCCCTGGTTACTAAGCTTTAGTATTTTTTCAAGCTTATTTTTGTCCTTTGCATTTCCTCCTGTCTCAGTTGTCTTCGAATCCTCACCCCCTTTTCTGTAGGGTTGTCCTTTTCTTAGTGATTCAAGGTATTAGTTTATATATTTTGGATATTAGTCTTTTGTTACACAGGTTCCATGTTTTTCTGCCAGTTTATCGTTTGTGTTTCTTTGAACAGAATTGTCAGTTTTGATATAGTCACCTATTTTTCTTTATGGCTGTTCTCTGAAGTCTTTCCTATTCCATGTTTTCCTTTTTTTAAAAAAAATTTCTTAGAGCTTTAAAAAAAAGTTAGCTCTTTTCAACTATGTAGATATTAATTTTGTGAATGGTGTGAGTTAGACAGCCAACATTTCTTTTTCAAATGAATAACTAATTGTCCAAACACTGTTTATTACCTTTCCCCACTGACTTGAAATGCCATTTTCCTCACATATGAAATTCCCATATATATGAGACTGTTTCTGTACTCTCTTCTGTTCCATTATATATGTTTATCTCAATACCATACAGATTTACTCTTATGGTTTTATAATATAAGGAAAGTCCCACCCCCTTTATTTCATTTAAATAAAATGAAATATTTTATTTCATTTTCTATTAAAAAAAAACTTTAAGTAAAGCTACTATTCATTGTTTAACTCTCTGATTCTCCAGTCTTCCTTGAGATCCAGATGACAAGGAGATAAAATTAAAATTATCCACAGGCAAGACAAAGGAGCATGGGAAGTGAGGGAAAGGAGGAAAAAAAGAGAAATACTCTCAAGATGGTATTTCCCCCCTTACACTTCAAGATGCTACCCTGTGAATTATGCCACATATGAAATAAGGTAGATTTTATGTGTGCAGCCACTGTCTAAATCAAAGCTGGCCCTGGCTTTCATTGCTAGCCAGTTATGAATGACAGGGACCACGTAAACATAAAATGTGAATGGAAGGGAAATAGAAAAAAACATGAATCTACATGAGAAAATAAGGATGAAAGTGAATAAAGAACATGGTGACAGAAAATAAAATACATGTATTATTTTTATGGACCCACCCCTCAGGAAATAAAATCTCTGAGTTTAGTGCATCCATCATGTCCTGGGGTCTTTCTGCTACGTCTACTTATATCACTTGATTTTTTTTTTTTAATCCTCACTTGATATTTTTTCCATTGCTTTTCAGAGAGAGTGGAGGGGGTGGGGAGAGAGAAAGAGAGGGAGGGAGAGAGCGATATTGATGTGAGAGAGACACATCGATTGGTTGCCTCCTGCACGAGCCCTCGGGGCGGGGGATTGCAACTGAGGTACATGTCCTTGACCAGGAACGGGACTGGGACTCTTCAGTCCACGAGCAAAACTAGCTAGGGCAATCATTTTGATGTTTTATATAGATTATAGAGGAATCAGTACTTTACTTGATAATAGAATTGACAGAGAAAGAGATATTGTATTAATAATGAGTAATAGAAAATATGTTAAAGTAGTTGGTAAGCATTAAAAAGGAAACTGAGTAAAAAAGTGTCTGTAGTAAAATAATCACACTAAACATAAACAGTTTAACCTTTAAATCTAACCATTGTACACAATACAGTTATACTCAACTTAAAGGTGTATCTGTCTTCAATGTAAAGCTAATGTTACCCAAATAGGAAAATCTGTCATGTGGGCAACAGGGCTTTAAATTAAATTAATTATTTACAATAAATTTAATTGTTCCTGGTTGAAATAGTGTGTTGATAGGACATGGTTATTGTCAAGGGTCTTGTGTCCAATGCAGTGTGGCCAAAGTTTCAGTGTCCAGTAAACAGGCAATAATGAAGTCTCATAATGACCATTCACACAGAAACAGCATCATTTTTTGGAGTGAACACTGTGATTCACTGATCTCCTTTTAACTCACCAATTTATAAGTAGTTGCATTATGTTTAAAATCAGACTATTTTTCCTAGTAAAGCAACAACTGAGCAAGTTCTAATAATCTGCCTCAAGAAGTACAATAAAAATGTACTTTAAAGTCATTTCTTCCCTTGCTTTACATTAAATTTAGGGTTGAAGACAAAACTCTAGTTACGTATATCATAATGAGATCTACCATTACCATAGCAAACAAGTTAAGGATTTATTTTCTAAAAAACAAAACTGTAATATTTTAGTACTCCAGTTGTCCCTGCTAAATATGTATTTTTAAATGTTCATAATATGCTAGCTTCATGAAACCTAACCACCATTGGTTTTTAAAACAAACTTTTTTGTATATCTGAAAGTGTAGCTTTTGATAAAGAAAAAAACTGTAAACGAGTGTAACTATTTTACCTATCAGATAAATTCATATGAATTGTATAGCAAACTTCTCTAAGTGGAGCTCATCCAGGTAAGTTGTGGAAACTAGTGCTAACCAACGAACTTTCTGTCAAGTTGCGTCCACACTACTCACCGTCTTAGCGTGGCCCCGGCTGGACTGCGCTTCTGGGCCGGTTTCCACAGCGGGCGCTGAGGAGAGGCTGGGGCGGGCTGACGCTCCGACGCCCTCGCGTGCGTTTCAGGGCTTCCCGCTCTTGCCCGTTGGGCTGAGACTTTTAACTGCCATCGGGCTCCCTACCCCGCCTTCCAACTCTGTCTGGTGCCCCCTAGTGCTCATCACCTGTACAATCTTGAGTAGTTGCGAGAAGCAAAGGGGTCCAGAGAGCCCAAGGATGCTTTCAAGAAAAGCATTCCATTACTGTGAACTGTATGGATCCAAAACCATGGCATAAATTGCATGTGTGCTTTCATGTGCTAGTGAAAGAGGGAGAGGGAGTTGTGTTACTAAGCCGCCAAAGGAAAGATGGAAATTAAGTGTCAACCAACTACATAGAAATCAACTCAGTTCTGTCAAGTTTGTGGTAAAAGACGCAAAGTTCACCCCCTCTCCCCGCACCGTTCATTTTATTCTGTCAAGAGTTCGCTATGATCCTTGATTTCCGTAGGGCAGCCTAGCTTTGAGAGCCAGAATGTCTGTTTTCGGGCTGGAGCTGAGAATGCCCACAACTTATCTTAATTGTTATGCAAGGGAGGGGGAAAGATAATTCTCCCTGTTTCTTTCCCCAACCCATTTAATCAATATTAATTTCATGTGCAATGCACAGAGTTTCTTTTACTCTACAGAAGGAGTCGTTAGCTCTTCTGGCTGAGCTCCGGCTGTTTCTCCTGCTTTGCCTTTCCCCTCCACCCCCACACCCCTACAGTCACTCAACACTTCTGCAGCTTTCTCCATTAAAGATGAACAACAGATCATTTTTCTTTGCATGGCAATTCTAAAAGCTCTCTCTAGTTTCAGCAGACCATTGATGGGAATCTCTCCTCTCGCCTGTCTCCTTTTTCTTGTTTTTTCTTCCTTCCCGTCTTCCACAATTAATCCCTAAATAATGACTTTCCCAGCTAGCGCTGATTTAAGGATGGGGTTTAGCGACTCACGGTGACGCTCCCATCAGCCTTCCAGAAGGGGCGGTTTCCAAAAGAAAACTACAACTCCCAGGAGGCATCAAATTAAAGTAGCCGCAGGGCATCACGGAAGTCGTAGGCTCCTTCCTCCAGAACCCCTTTCATTCCTTAAATGAGTAAACTACGAGTACCAGGAGCCTCGACACTGGCACGCCTGCGCGAGAGTCCTGAGAGTGAGGTGGGGGGGTGGGGCTGCC